GTACTATAATATCTGAACTAGTAGCGCTGCGTAATAGCGCATTCAGTTCGTGATAGAATGTGTCCTTGACAGCATTTGAACTGCAGTCGATAGGAGCATAAGCGGAAATCACAAACAAACAGCGTTTTTTACTACTTGAATCAACCTTAGCTGATGTCAAACGGGCTGCACATAAACGACTGTTCACTGGAATCCAGTCAAGCAAAGATGGCTCGGCCTTGGAGCTTAGAATGATACATACACCATCTTGACCCGTGAGTGCCGCATCGGCGTCTCTGATGCGTGCAACCAATAACGAGAGGATAAGCCGGGTGCTGTTAATTCAATAACCCCATTAGGGTCATTGATCCTAGTTTCGGACACACAACATACAACAATACCCAGTGTGTCCAAGGTGCGTGCGAGTGCAGCCTGTTGACCTGTTTGTCTTATAGTGCGAACATTGAATGTCACCATGGCAACGGGATAGCGTGGCCTTATAAGGGACTTTTGCCGATAGGCTTCCGATAAGTGCTGTGAGATGGTGGCTGCAGATGGTTCTACTCCAGTGTCATTTCGGTTGCTGTCAGTTAAGCTGGGAGTTGTAGAAGGAAGGTTAGTAATGGGGGTCGGGATGGGAGTAAGAGAAACAGGTGGAAAAGAAAGAAGGGAGACGCCAGCGGTAGCATGTTTTCGCTTATCTGCCGTGCTGTATGCAGCAGATAAGGCGACCCTTGATAATCTGCGCGACGGCCGATGCAGGATGAAGTTTATGTTTGAAGAAAATGTCATGGTTGTATGTGGGCTGAGATACTGCCAGGGCGCCCAGACCTAGACAGGAGGACGATTAGGGTCCTGATCCAAAGCCTTTGGCTCAAAAGCCTGTCGGCAAGGCAGCGGGGAGGTGGCAATGATTTAGTTTTACAGAAATGGACGCCATCCCATTTCAAGCCCCCAACCTGGAGGACCAGGAGACTGAGTTTGTCTGACCTCTCACCATTGACCAACCTGGTAGGAGTAGCTCTCAAGGTGCCCGGAGGCATCACCCAGGATAGCTCAATGGGTCAATGAGGTACGCAAACCGTCGCACCACGTTAAGGTCCAGTCTCGTTGCGACGGGCCCCACTCAGCGCAGCTCCATGGATCATTGAGTCACGCAGACCATCGCACCACGTTAAGGTCCAGCCTCTTCGCGATGGATCGTTCGCAACACAAGGGTTATGTCATCACTTGTTGGTTGCATTCCTGTGTATAGCACGTTTAACAACACCGGCCAAGGTTAGTGCAAGGAGTGCTACTAGACGCTGTCTGTATTTCTTTTCCGCCTATACTCAAACCTACTGCAGTTTTGATGGTGCTACTGGCACCGCAGATTTGAGGTGCCACTTCTCATTGTTGTTACCGACTTAGACCTAGTTCTAACTGCAAGGGATATGAGTGCAGAAGTAGGTTATCTGGATTCCTCAGAGGCTAAACTAGATGAGGAGTTTGACAGTCATGAGGCGACACACTCTACTCCCGGTTACTTTATGGCTCCATCCTTCGGCATGCACTTTGCGCCTTCAAAGTGCAAACCGCTGACTCTGGATCATTAACACCTTGCTAAATCCCTTAACAATAAAAAACAGATACTTGACTTCTCTATTTTGGCAGCTGCATTTGCAACAATGGACATTTGACTGCGTATATGATGCCTATATTCGCTGGGCCAACTCTTTACACACTCACACACATTATTCAACTGGGGCAGACCTATTCGGGCCAACTTCCCCGTATTCTGCCGCAACACTTGCCCTGACTTGGCATTTGCACTCTTGCCCTGGGACATGCATACAAAATGTCAAGAACAGTTGCTGTTTATATATGCGAAATTGGAATTTGCGTTTTCTTGAACTTACGACTTCCGTAGCCTTAAGAATCACAACCCTGCCTTGTAATCCGAGGGCGCGGACTCGATCCTGCATGGCGGACAGGGTGACCCTCGCAGTATCCTTAGACCACGTGCGACTGCTAGTGGTTACGTGTCAGCAAAGCGCCGATACTGCGTATTGCTGGTGCTTTTTTTACCTCCATGGCGCCGAAAGACGATTTTCCTAGATCTTAAAAATCGTGCACATTGCGACACAATTGGGATGTTCTCCATGGGAGTGGGATTTGACCCCTCCTCTTGAGGACTGCTCTTATTAATCTCTACCTCGAGACTATACCAAGGTACATAGCGGTCAAAAACTTTCGGGTAAGGCATTTCGCTCTCGGCCCGTTTGTGGAATGTGCCGATATGACCGAGAGCAGAAAAGCTCTTTTCTGTACTGTTCTCTTGAGACCATCTCATTGGAGCGTGTTATACACTGGCGGACTGTCATACACTTTTTTATACAGTCCATAACATTATGCACCGGAAGCGTATAATGAACGCTTCCTTGTAAGGGGAGAGATTACTGAGCTTGTACCTTATTGTCTTTACTCGTTATCAAAAGCATAGTCAGGAGATGAAAGCTTATGGAGGCGTGCGTTTCGTACTATTCCTTCAATATTATTAGTTAAAACTGATATGCATATATTTATTTGTTTATTTACTTTCTTTTTTCCAAATATATATACATATATATATGTATATAATCAAAACTCCATTTTGCGAAGAAGCGCTTTTTTTCGATAACTCATCAGAAAGTATAAATGAACTCAATGTGCTAGTAAAAGCAGAACCGATTTGAACATTGCTGCTAAAATCAATCAGTCTTAATGTCGATTCAATTCGGTCAAGTCTCGTGACGGCCAGTGAGGTGAAGATCACACTGTTTGCCCAACGCGGGAGAATTGTCACGGGGCCATGGTAATAGGATGGGTTGTACAAGAGCCTGTTTGCAATCGCTTCCGCCGTCTTCAACAGCCGTTCTCTATGCCCCTTAGGATAGTGCTTTGATACAGCGTAGAAGACTTTGAAGGAAGCTTCTGTCTGTATCTTATGGTCACTTCGAAGCAAGTGCTCCATGATTGATTTCTTGCGGTGCCTCTTCGCATAGATGCTGGACAGTGCTCCGCTATCCTTTTGGACAGACGTCTGGTTGTGTGCCCAATGTATCTTACACCACAGGTGCAGAATGGATTTTTGTTTTAGCCATTTACTTCAGATGCTCATTACTTTAAGATATATATCACCCTTTCCTTATGCATTACTCGATTTATTTTGTTATCTTTCTCTCAAGTGATTGGCTGTTGCTTGATATCCCCGGTGAGGCTGCGCTTGATGTGCATGTTGACAAGGTGCCTACCTGTCTATTACCCACTACCTCGTCCATACTGGCTCCAGGAGACGGTCGTTGCTGGAGGGGACAGGGTGCACGGTCCTTGTGGCCGTGTTAAGATCAAAGATCGGTTCCATGCACTCAGTGTGGAGCGGACTACGGTCCAGCCACCGCCTTGTGTGCGCTTGATTGCCAAATACAGCGTGCTTGTGTTTGTCTGTGAAGGAGTACGGGCTGGCTTCGTTGATGAAACGTGGTTCCCATCCACATGCCTCCCGGTCTTATTCCTTCGGGTTTACACTGGATATGGGGTGGTGTGGTTGGAGCTGTGGGTGGGGTAGCGCAAGCCATGCATGGTCCCTCTGTATGCGCAGGCGTGCTGTGGCTGGCCACAATGACAGGCAAATCCGAAACCGGATATATATATATATATATATATATATATATATATATATATATATATATATATATATGCAACTGCAGTGCCCCGTGCCGACATTAATGTCGCATGCATCATGCTTCTACACTGCAGTTGGGTATCACCGACTTACACTTAAACCAGATCTTCTTAGCCTAGATAAAGAGTATCCCTCTTTATTTGGTTTACTCATTTCTGTTATTGTGCTGCAAATTCCGTTTTAACTTTGCGTGTTTATTATTCTTTCGATTCTTTGTTGGTTGTTTGGTGCCCCCTGCGTGGCTTCACTTAATGTGAATGTTGACAAGGTGTCTATCTGTCTAATACTCTCCGCCTCCATTACCGGCTCCAGCGGACTGTACATGCCATGCTAGGCTCAGGCTGGTTCCATCCAGTGTGGAGCGGACTACGGCCCAGCCACACCGCTTTGTGCGTGTCTGATACGCATGATTCGCTTCATAGCTGGACAGGAATGCTGTTACTGTGCATGTTGGCTGAGTGTGGATCAACTCCGTTGATGGAACGTGGCTCCGACCCATATGTCTGCCGGTCTTACTCCTTCGTGTTCACACTGGATACGGGGTGGGTGCTACATCACAAGTCATCCATAGTCCCTGAGTAAACGCAGGCATCCTGTGGCTGTCCGCGTGGAGGCAGCAGTGCCAGGCAACTCCAGAACTGAATGTCGCCAGCCATACCCAACAGTTAGTCTGATCAAACGCGCTTAAGACTCAGAGTCTCTATGTCCATGGCAGTATACGCTTGGTAACTCACTGCTTTCTGAGCGCAAACAACCGGCTTCCTCCCACTTATTTCGACAGCTATTGTCGAACGGAGGAGGCAATTTGACCCAGCGCACTTGTGACTGGATTCCATTGCATACAATTCGAGTCTCATTGATATGCCCTGTTGAAATTTAAGACGTCTGTGCCATTCCGTTCTTCTGTACATTCAATAACGATATTTATGTACCCTGGATGGGTAAATATTCATCTTTCTCCTTCCTAGAGCGTTCGGACTCCCTTCTCAATTTACACTCAAACAGTCTAACTTGGGGTCTTAAAATAGCTAGCAGACAACTGCCGATTGCATGTCTCGTCCCAACACAGTAATTATCCTCCGCAATCTGAGCGTCTATCCCTCTTCTATTGTAGGCACCTTGGCTTACCTTTAACACATTTTTCAATGTACTATGCTTTTGTCTCTAGCAGTAGACTAGTCATCACTGGGTTTGTCTCCTTTTCTTCTTATCCATACTTATCTTTTAATTATGCCACTGTGGCTTTTTAACATCCTTGATCACCGTTGTTCACTCAATAATTCACATTTTCCTATACCCCCGTTTCTCGCCATCGCAGCGTCTTCCTGTGGACAACCACTCGATTCCCATACGTCTTCTGCCCGAGATTTTCTTCATCTTCGCCCAACTTACACGCACTTTACCTCAGCGAAGCCTGGCGAACAGTTGTCTGGTGGGTCTGAGCAGAACCTTCCCGATGCATTAACGTTTACTCCGCGTGAGCTCACGTTCACAAAGCGGGCGTCCCTTTCTGGCACTCATGATCATTTTCCCATGCAGGATGATGTCCATCATGCGGACGCTTTTCACGGTCGATCTGAGTTGCTAGCTAGCGTGTCCTATGATCCAGACGTTTCAAACTCTGCTTCTTCATATGTTCACGCATTCGGGTCCCCAACATGTGGATTCCCCGATCGTCTAGCAACTGGAGTGCCACAAATCAGGGGTCAGAAGTCAAGCCCGTATCCCCTGACCGGACAGAACTCCGTGCATGGAGTTATTGGTCATCCGAAACTGCCAGAATGTGGACCGATAAATCCGTATTCGGCGCATGAGAACTGTACTGCCTCTCGGACCAACCTGCTGTGGCAATCGATGCCATCTTCATGTAAGCCATTTTCTCACTTATGCTAACTTCCGAGCCGCCACTCATTCTGGACGGTCAGTTATCGACTCAGATCTTGATATCAGCGATGTTTCCTTTGTTTTGCGGGGTCCTCGACGATTCGCCGTTATATTCGTCGATCTCTGGGTTGTGTTCAGGCTCCTATTTGAATGATGACAACATTTCATGTGGTAGGTTTTCCAAAGCCAGTTGTATGATTCTGTCATGAGGCGATAGTCACCCTCTTGGACGCATTACCCTCTCCACTAAAAGACTCTACGGATGCAATCATTCGAACAAATCGTCCAGATGCTTTCGGTACGCCACGATTTCACTTCGATTTATGTTGAACTACAGTACGTATATAGCCGACACGTTAAACGATTCACCTGGTTCACCTTGTCACTCTGACTCCTATCCCCAGTCTTGCCTTCTTGTTTCACTCGCTTGTTGTTCGTAGGGTGTCTAGGAACACACTTGCATCCATGTCTTGCATGCCGCGCAGAAAAGATTCTCTAAGATCCCCGAATAATTCCCCCCCCCCCTCTTCCTATATTGTTATCCCAAAAATTTCTTACATGATTAGACTCCGTCTGTGTTTGGCGCACGTATGAGGCACTCGGCTCTGCATAGCTTGAGGAACGAATGCTGGATGCTTCTTTACATTGTGCAATCATGAGAATCCCACAGGATAGTTATTCATCAATTATTTTGTCACTGAATGCAAGCGACCGATGTCACCAATCACCCTGATTTCTGCTGCCCCTTTTGACTTGTTTGGACACCGCCGCCTCAGCACGTGATCATGTGGGGGATACCGGTGAAGTACATTGGCTTCACTAAATTTAGTCCACTGTGGCACAGGCGCCACTGTCTTCCTTCGGATGCGCTCCGTCGAGTCGGCCACACCGCTCTCCTCCGAAATATTGTTTAGCACACCTCCGTTCGGATTGATTGAAACGCGCGCTTCTTCGCCCTCATGATAGATGGGTTTTTTTCTTTTTGCAACGTACTACTACTTGATTGAATTGGATCCCTTGTGGAAACCATCGTTGTTCCCTTTGCATATTCTTATGGGCATGTGTTCATCGTAAGTCACCCAAACTGCACGGCATAGCTTGTTTGTCCAACTGAATATGTGTACGTTTTCCTTGCGTTGCGTAACACACTGCCGCAAGCACACAACCTCCTCACCCAGTTTGCAAGTTACTGAGTGATTTGTGCGGATATATTTACCAGAACAGCATTTTGCCCCCATGCGTTCGCAGTTCACCGGATTCTTAGAGTGTATGAAACAAGAATGAAGCAGTTGTTTACCTCCTGAACAGCCGAATTGACTTATCATCACAAGAAAAGGCATTCGAGTTTGTGTTTCAGGTTATAAACTATGTGAAAGCCAAAGTGAAACGTTAACTAGTAGATCTCGAATAACTATACGATGTTTTCGCACATTTCGAAGTGATTGATGTCCCCCTTCACTCGCCATTTGCTCGTATTCCCAGTGTTGCGTTATTACAGAGCAATAAGTCTGCACCGGACGTTCCGGCTAAAATCAGCCACCACCAATAACTGATGACTCAATGCCCACAGGTGTCCCCGTGAGCCGGAAGCATCCGAACTTGACCGGACACTAACGATTGCAGCTTGTCCTGGGACGCACGAACGAAGTGGCCGCCGCCGCCGCCGCTGCTGCTATGGCTAGTGTGTACAATCTTGGTCGACGCGGTCACTGCATCCACGGTTTTTTTTCTTTTATCGCAAATGGAACTGAAAAAGCACTCTCAGCACAGGCTACACTACTCAGCATAATCTGACATTTTTCCACAGCCGGCTCGTGGCCTTAAGGATCACAAGTCTGCTGTGTAATCCGCAGAAAATGACCACTTACATCAACCTTGCCTGACATCACGTTATTTTGTGGCTGCAGTGATTTCCATGGCAGCTTCTCTTAAATCTGCTTTTTCTTAAGGTGTTTCTTGTTTGATTCCATAGGGGTATTTCGCAGTTTGTAAGTCTCGGAAAATTGCGTCTCGATCTTGTTCAGTGCAAGTTGCCAAGTAATTCTCCATTTCAATAGACGCTATTCCCTCGAATATTCTGCCATAGCAAATGGAATGTCTAGTAAAGCGATAATATCCCGCTCGAGTGTTCGAACGAATTTCGCTTTTTTTACAACATTTTTATATTGCTCATGGTTGAATTGTCTGACAAGTGGAATTTATCCCAAACACACAGCATCCATAGCATTAACTGAAGCAGTAGATGAAGCTCCTGCCACATGCAGATCATTGGTATGTATTTGTGCTATAACCTATTGCATGAGCTGGGCTCTGTAGTACGTTTTAAATAATTTATGTGCATTTGCTGCGGACACACTGTACGAGATAAACACCCATACGCACAAACACTGAGAGGTGGGACAAAAGTGCTCATGCTCATACACAGACAGAGAAAATACCGTATCATCAAACGTCTGCGGAACAGTGATGTGTGTGTCAGGAGAATTTTGCACACTACAAAATCCTGCTACAAACATATTTTTATCCAAACAAACTAGTCGGTCGGCAACCATTGTACAGTAAACCTTTACCTGGTCAAGAAGTTAAATTACTACTAACTGATATGGCTCAAGTGGTCAACCTACACCTTACAGAGGTGGTCAGTATACAATGATCTTGTTCCATAGGGTTTACATGTTAAGTGTTCAAGCTATGTGAAAACGCTAACTTGGAGAGGTGATTAGGGCATAGAAGTAATTAATTTTGGAATTTACTGTAATTGGGTGTTCTTCCACTCTCAAGCAAATTGCTGTTTAGAGTCCGCCATATGAACCATTGTGATGGGCCTCACCTGATGGTGTTGAGCTATCCAAGATTTACTGGATTTAACTGGTATACGATTCCATAGCATTTCACGTGGAAACATTTTCCTCATTCAATAAGACCAGAAGCTTGTCGTTCTAAATGACCATCTGGTTGCCTCACTGGGCTGCAACAACGCTTCCCGAAGTGTAGCAGACACGCCCCATCGATGATCACATCTACCCGCAACATCTGGACTGTTGTATGATTTTTCTCTCGGACTCATGAAACCCCATCACGAAACAGAACGAGGTAGTAATTCTCCAGCTTTGTCTACAAACAATGATTTAACATCCTCCTGCGGTCTTGTTGTAAGGGCCTTACTTCGAAGTTGACCTCGGTTGCAGACTTTCGGCTACCTGGTTAGGGTCCGAAAGACGTTTGGCTGTATGCACTTGTTGACATGGCAAGGAGCCGACCTCAGTGGCGTGTGTTGTGAGTTCATCGGTCCCTCCTTCTCCAACCACGATCTCATTTACTAGACATTATGTAACTCTTTCTGCGGCACAATAGCCACTTATTAGTTCTCCGGAACGATGTCCATCCGTTACTGGAGTCCTAGCCGTCGTGCCTCTGTTGCATGTTCTTTAGGTATTGCGGCACAACAGCTGAGGTGGTTCCCACCTTCAGCTAACCTCTATGATGATTATGGCCTTGTTGTGCCTATGGACAATCTGGGACATCATCAATACCGAATCATTGACCGCCCGGCTAGTGTGTCATCGATGAGCTGAACAGAACCGGTCTTGGTGTGTACCTCGTCGCGAGCTTCTCGTTCATTGATGGGGATTTAGAGGCGATTCACGCTGTGGACTTATCTCGCAACTTACTGCTATTATTTCTGCAGCTGCGGTGGACCCGTGTGATCACACATGCTACTCTCAGTGTGCGTGTGAGCTTGGAGCTACAATCGAGTTGGCTGCTTCGTTTTATCACCCTTATCTCTGGTTTCATAAGCTTTATTGAGCTTATTAGCAGCCTATAGACAGTCGCTTATCAGGTTTACGATGACTCTCAGCTGACACATTCTCCACTGTCATGCCAGTTACGAATTGTGCAGAAGGCAATGGTTGACTCCAGAGCTATGACTTTCCGCATAGTGACTGTGTACGACACTGCCACGCTATATTGTAATCAACTGTCAGTTATGCAGGTTCGCCGCCTTCATTCATAGCTTAGTGATACGAGCTGCTGACCTCCGGAAGTCATGGGGTCGGAATCCGGCAGCGGTCCTAGAAAGCCACGTCACTGACGAGACCCAGGGGGCCGAAACGGCCGTCTGTTGTCTTTTCAGACATGTGGGAGCCTACCTGACAGAGTGTGGACTGCGACGAACCAAGTCTAAAACTACACCCAGATCCCCACTATTCATCAGTTCTCAGCTGATTTGTTCGACCTTCGGGGCCTTACACCTACTAGTATCAACATTTTCACTACTTGGTCTCTTGAGATTATTATTAGTATTTCAGTGGCGACTCATCGATGACAATCGAATTCTGTGCACCGGTATTTCTGTTATGACGGAAATATAACTCATTACCATCTCTGACTTTTCTCTTCGTCTTCGCAGATCAAACTCCATACAACTCGAGTGGAATTCCTCACGCGCCACACAACCCGGCCTCCTACGAAGCTCACAGTCAGAAAGCACAACAGTTCACACCCACCCCTTCAGATCTAAAGTCTGGCATCCCAGCTGGTGCTAACCTTCAACCCCAGCACCCTCAGTCTGGCATGGGCTACGTCTCCATGGATCGCGGTAATCCAACGATACTTCATGCCGCCGGAGCGACTTCGGAACGAGTACGTCAAATTTTTTTGCTATGTATCTACCTCACATGTTCGCAATACATTCGTGTATCACTTTCTCGAACTCCTCCACTACTTCCGCGAAATTTTCCAAACTAAGTCTTCATTTCCCACCATCAAAGGGGACTGACCACACAGTTTCTCCTCTGTTTTTGCCGTGTCCCAGTTCTTATCTTCTTCAATTCTATCGGTTCCTTTAATTGACCGAACAACGCCTCCGTTGGTTTGGATATTTTCTAGCTTTGTCTCCGGACTGGTGCACGCCTTGAGCTTCTTGCGTGCTCTATCGCCAGCATCTGGCAAACAAATTCAAGAAGTGTTTGACTGCGTCAACAACGGTAGTACATCAGCCATTTGAACTAATGCTTCGCCGCCATACAGCCATGATGACCTGTGGAATGAAGAATAATAAGGCAGCTGAGAGAGACTTACCGGAAAGTCTTAATGCCCTAAAGAAACATTCTGAGCCAAGACACCTACACCTTTTGTTAACAACGTATCGTCACATGCAGATGGCTATCGTGCAAGGATAAGGCGGCATCGGCAAGATAGCTTCCTTGCGGCTTTCACTGCCCCGCGTCATAATCAGCCATTACCCCGCAGGTAACAGCACAAAACACAATTTAAATAGGCAGCCCGACTAGGAGACGGCAGCAGATGCGCCTCTGGTGCCGGCTGCGAGCCACGTCCTGTAAAGTCTCGAGCCAAGCATAGGGCGGGTCACATGACTCCAGCCCGGAAGGCGAGACGGACCGACTGCACCCAGTTTTGTTGTCATGGACTTCATTTCCCGCTGCCAACTCAACTTTTGTCCATTTCGAGCCTTGCGCCACCCCATATCTAGCAGACTAGACAAGACCTTCCTAAGTAAGCGTTGACTAGGCATACGTAATACGTGCCAAAGCCAACGCAACTTATTCAGTGCTATCTGTTGCTCTAAGGAACTAACTTGGTTATCACTGTCTAGTACTCGCCTACGCACATCATCGTTGCGGACATGCTGGGACCACCCGACACCGGCAATGTTTCGCAAACGACGATAATCAAAGACTTGAAGACATCTCAGATCATCAGACCAAAGGGGCCAGGTCTCACTCCGATAGAGTAGGACGGCCCTCCCTGTGGTCTTGTAAACACGGTCTTTCAGACGGAGGGAAACCCCTTTCTGTAGCAAAAAATGCTCCAGCCTCAAGAAGGCAGTTCTAGCTTTTGCAATGTGTGAATTGATTTCATTTTCTATGCGCCCATCGTTGCCGATGCAGCTGCCAAGGTAGCTGAATCGATCAACCACCTCGAGTTAGTCGTTAACAAGGGTCAAGGGGTCATCAAGTGGCTGGTGATCCTGCAGTAACACTGCACTTTGGAGATGCGAAGCGCATACCAAATAATGGGACCACTAGAGGGGTTATTCAGGGTTGATTGTGCCGCCGCAACATCGTTAAAAAGCAAGACGATATCGTCCGCATAATCAAGATCAACCAACCTTTCACTACCTCGGCTGGTGCTCAAGAGAATAAGACACCTGTCTTTTAATCCGGATATCACCGGTTCGAATCTACATACGAACGGCCGACTTCGCTGTAAACCTAGCTCACGCTTGGCTGCTGCGTTGCAGTGAAGCTTCGGTACGGTGTGCCGGCGTACTGCTTACGCCTTTCCCTTCTGTCTCAGCTCGCATCGCCGCGGCATCACATGAGTTGTTACTTCAAATTTCCCAGTCAACAATTGAAAGTGGTTACCACCAAATAATACTCTCTTCTATGTATTGATGGCCCGTAACTTGCCTTGTAATCCGAGGACGCGGGTTCAAGTCTGCGTAGGGGACCGTGCGACCCTGACAGTATCCTTAGTCTACACCTGACTGTTGGTGGTTGCGCGGCAGCGAAACCTTGTTACTCTGTACCGGCGTACTGCTAATACCTTTTATTGATGACTAAGGAACGTCATCTCCCACGGAACCCCGTTTGTGGCGATCCTTTTTATCAGCGTTGTTCTCCCAACCATAGCTGGGCACATCAGAAAAGCTACCCTCGCTTCATCAGTCACACTGACAGTCAAGCTTGGTCTTCATCGGTACTTGGTGTTCACTAGAATGTGGAGAGCTTGCTTCGTCTACCTCTACTCTGGCATTTGCTGCCTTCTAACGCCTCGCCTATACTAATAACGAATACCGTTATAATGACAACGACGGTAAGGAATCTGAACAGGAAACTGTATCGTGTTGGTGTGTGTGTGGTCTCGGGATCAGCCTTACACCAATGTTTAACTGGATCACGGGGTATGCTGAGCTTTAGCAGGTCAAATATTCCCATTTCATTGTTCATAATCAAAACCTGAAATCGAATTATGGGTGAAGCATTCTTTTTGGGGTAAAATGTCATCAGGCCCATACGTTTAGGTGTGCAAGTGACATTAAGAGTCAAATATTGACCAACACATGCAGTTTGAATGCTAGATTCAATAACTTTACGTCACAGCTACGGATAAGGTACCGAGTCAACAAATGGAATAGTAGATAATAATCACTCGAAAAGGAAGAAGCTAGACTACTAGAATGATAATCAAATAGTTAAGTAACAGTGCTCATTGGTTAAAGTGACAAATAGACCGCACATATTTCTTTTGAACCCACAACCGGTTACAATTGGCGAAGGTATATGGCCTCTGCAATAGATGGCAATTGTTTGCGGAAGCATCGTGAGTAGCGTCCAAGCAATGAGTAGATCACTTTGAAGTCGTTCTCTGGTGCTACATGGCCGTAGTCAAGGAGGTGTGACAAAATCGAGTTGTGCGATGCGCTCTGTCTCTTACTTCCGGTTGTTAAACTCCCCGTCCGATCACCTCGGCGTTCAGATTATAGCCTATTTACTATGCATACCAATGGGATTGTTGGGGAGGGGATACGTGCTTCTTTTGCCTACTGTTTCAATGGACTTTTCACCATGGCTATTCTCTTCTTGTTCTGATTCTCTATGCCTTGCCCTGCATGGCACACTCTGTTCCCATTGTGCTGACCGAGTGGTTCACACTTTCGACTTGTAATTCCCACAAGTAGTCACTGGTACGAGTTTGCTGTGCGGGTATTTTCGTACTATCCTCAGCCCGCACGCGACTGCGCTGCCGATCGCATGATAGTGAGGCGTACTACCGATGCTTGCCTATCAACCTGGCAATGTGATATCCACCCCACCATTTGCCTTTTCATCTTTAGTACTAAAGTGTGGATCTCAATGATATGAACAAACCTTTGACCCGTAACTAGTGTACTTGATTAAAAAGTCTGTGCCAACTCTGTGGATCTGTGACATTTCTTGATCCAGTTGCGCATAGGAACGCGGTGGCGAATGTTCTCTGTTGCTTGTTCACTTCGATCTTATGCGCGTCTTCAGGACCCCGACCGCCGTTACCTAAATGCTGCGATAACTAGAGATGCAGGTGAGCGTTAGTCGATCACAATCAGTTTTGATCCGTTTGTTCAAGAATTTGAATAATTGTGTTAGTCTCTTCACGTGCTGCGCTCATACCCGCATACCAATAAGAACCACGTTTCATTTACCCCGAGTTCAAGGGTATAGCCGCTGATCTGGGAATAGCTTCGCTGATCATCGTATTCGGGGCTGTGTTGAACTCTGTCACCTTCCAAACTGGATTCCACATCCGTCACTGTGTATTTGGCATGAGACATTACGAGAATTAGTTTGAATCGAGGACTATTAGCGTATTTACTAGTATTCCATTTATTTATCGTTCTAACTTGCTGTTTTCTGGCTTCATCTCGTATTCTGTATACTTGATGCCTATTCTCGTTTGCTTCCGCTGGCGACGATTAAGAGGTGAAGTTTCGCCTCTTCACATCCCTGTCGCCAATGATTCCGCTTCTGTTCGATCGAGACCGTCATTCTCTTCTGTTCATGCGCTCGCTCCTGTTGTAATTCCAACGGTCAATCACGTCCCTCCTACACGTGTTGAAACTTTCGTGCTCTCATTTCCCCTCAACTTCACGCACTTGTGCGATCTACAATGTTACTGACGATAGCTCACTGTTGGTTTTACGGGATCAGACCACGTCGCTTGGATACATGCCACATCTTTTTTCAAAATTTAATGGTCTCCACTTCCTGTTGGGTTGATTTGTTTGTACTTAAGCTCCTTTTAACAAAGTGAGGAGTAGTGAAGCTTGAAATCCAACTAGACTTGCGGTTACATGCATGTTCGACACCTTTCGAAAGCATGTGGCGCATTGTAGTTGCTTATTACGATCAACGGTGTGGAGTTCGGGCGTGCGTGCGTGCGTGAATCACGTGAAGTAGTAACCACTCAGCTGCACTCGAGCTTTCTACTCAGGTGACTGTTCCATCGCTAGAACCGTACTCTAAGTGGACTTTGGTGATACTTACTGCCGAGGGCCAGTTACACTGTCACTCCGTCGTGCTCTACGTGTTTTCTCTCTCTAAGCTCGCGAGTCTCGTTTCACCATTACCTCGACAGGCAGTGGTAACAGAATGTGGAAGATACGGTTTGCCCCGGAGACAATACACTCAACTAGGAGTGCTGCGAAATTAAACTTGCCACGGCTGTCTACCAATTCCTAGAATTGATGAGATTATGTGCCTCATCGCCCCTTTGCCATTATCTCTTCTTTCTTTGCTTTACCAGACCCTGAACGCACTCGAATATGTGTCTAATGTCTGCATCCGTCAACAATTTAGGGATGTTTTCCATTTGGTTCATCGCAGTTAGGGATTTCGCGGTCTGGAAACCCTGTTTAGGGCAATACTAGTCTTCTGCTGAAAGTTGAACGTCCTCCCATGCTAGATTACGATACTGAGACGATGCTACATCTGTGCAGCCGTCGTCTTTCAGTAACTTTTCGCCCAGATAGGTCGACTTCTCGGCTTGCAATAAGTGCTGATTTTAAAGACATCCTTCCTATTCTTAAGATATTTGGCTCAACTTGGCACCCCCATCCACTCTAATTCATCGCGTTACTACGA